AGACATGATGGGTTGAATGCCCTCCTTCTGTACTGTAAAATTCAATGATTCTGTAAGAGAGAATAAAGCATCTGGCCCACGTTACATCCACATAAATGGAAAGAACTGCAGATGCTGAAAATTTGAAATTTGAAAAAAAACTGTTGGAGAAACTTGATAGGTCTGAGAGCATCTGTGGAGAGAGAAATAGATTTAATGTTTCAAGTCCAATAAGACTTCTTCAGAACTTTGGATTACATTCACATCTCTTAAAGAATTTAAGGAGTTAGTGGCAGAGGCATTAGGACATTCATTCAAAAAAGTAAAGGTGCCAGAGTAAGGACAACTCATATGATGCTTACGTGCAAAATAGGAGCTGGAACAAGCTGAGGGAACCACAGACCACTTACCTTAGCATTGTGGTTTGGAAAGATAGTGGAATCCTTAATCAAATCCGTCATGGAAATACATCTAAAAACTGAAAATGTAATAAAATAGAAAACTAATTTTCCAGAAGAGAAGGCCATACTTGATCAATCTTTATCGAATTGTTTAAAAAAACACAACAGAAGGATAGTTAAAGATAACATAGCAGGCAATAAATTTGGAATTTCAAAAATCCTTTGATAAACCATTGCACAGTAGCAAAATGGACAACAAACTGGCTACAAAACAGAAAACAGACAATAGCAGTTTAAAGATAGTTAGAAACGGATGGGATTCTACAAGTGCTGGGTCCACTCTTGATCACGAGACCTGTGAAGGAGGTACACAGTTAGAGGGAATACAACTTCTAAATTTGCAGGTGGGTGTAACCTGGCAGTTTGGCTAATTTCGAGGAGGCCTACAAGAAAAAAAGCATAAATGAACTTCCAGAATGGGAACATGATTGGGAAACAAACTCCAATATTTATTGAGACACAAAAAAACTGTAGATGCTGGAATCCAAGGTAGACAAACAGGAGACTGGAAACACACAGCAAACCAGGCAGCATCTGGAGGAAAGGAGCAGTCAACGTTTTGGTCCAACTTGTCCATGCCTACCAGATATCCTATGTAAATCTAGTCCCATTTGCCAGTATGTGGCCCATATCCCTCAAAACCCTTTCTATTCATATACCCATCCAAATTTCTTTTAAATGTTGTAATCATACCAGTCTCCACCATTTCCTCTGGCAGCTCATTCCATATATGCACCATTGTCTGCGTGAAATAGTTGCCCATAGGTCCCTTTTACATCTTTCCCCTCTCATCTTAAACTTATGCCATCTAGTTTTGGACTCCACCACCCCAGGGAAAAGACCCTGCCTATTTACCCTATCCATGCCCCTCATGATTTTATAAACCTCTATAAGGTCACCCCCTCAGCCTCTAACGCTCGAGGGGAAATAGCCCCAGTCTATTCAGCCTCTTGCTATATTCAAACCCTCCAACCCTGGCAACCTCCTTCTCAATCTTTTCTGAACCCTTTCTAGTTTCACAACATCCTTCCTAAAGAAGGGAGACAAGAATTGCACACAAACTCCAAAAGTGGCTGAACCAATGTCCTGTATAGCTGCAACATGACCTCCCAACTCCTATACTCAATGCACTGGCCAATAAAGGCAAGTATACCAAAAGCGTTCTTCACTATCCTATCTATCTGCGACTCCACTTTCAAGGACCTATGAACCTGCCTGCACTCCAAGGTCTCTTTATTCAGCAATGCTCCCTAAGAACTTACCAATAAGTATATAAGTCCTGCACTGATTTGCCTTTCCAAAATGTAGAACTTCACATTTATTTAAATTAAACTCCGTCTGCCACTTCATGGCCCACTGGCCCATCTGACCAAGATCCCATTGTAATCTGAGGTAACCTTCTTATGCTGTCCACCACACCTCCAATTTTAGTGTCATCTGCAGACTTACTAACCATACCTCCCACATTCACATCCAAATCATTTATAAACAACAAAAAGCAGTGGACCCAGCACTGATCCTTGTGGCACAGGCTGGTCACAGGCCTCCAGTCTGAAAAGCAACCCTCCACCACCATTCTCTGCCTTCTACCTTTGAACCAGTTCTGTAACCAAACAGCTAGTTTTCCCTGTATTCCATGTGATCTGACCTTCCTAATCAGTCTACCATGAGGAAACTTGTCAAATGCCTTACTGAAGTCCATATAGATTGCATCCACCACTCTGCTTTTATCAATCCTCTGCGTTACTTCTTCAAAAAATCCAATCAAGCGAGTGAGACACAATTTCCCACACACAAAGCCATGTTGACTATCCCCAATCGGTCCTTGCCTTTCCAAATATCTGTAAAACCTGTCCCTCAGGATTCCCTCCAACAATTTGCCCACCACTGATGTCAGGCTCACTAGTCTATAGTTCCCTGACTTTTCCTTACCACCTTTCTTAAATAGTGGCACAACGTTAGCCAACCTCCAGTTTTCCGGCACCACACCTGTGGCTATCGATGATACAAATATCTCAGCAAGGGGCCCAGCAATCTCTTCCTTAGCTTCCCACAGAGTTCTAGGGTACACCTTATTAGGTCCCGGGGATTTATCCACCTTTATGCATTTTAAGATGTTCAGCACTTTCTCCTATGTAGTATGGGCATTTTTCAAGATGTTGCTATTTATTTTCCCACGTTCTCTATCTTCCATATCCTTCTCCACAGTAAACACTGGTGCAAAATACTCGTTTACTATCTCCCCCATCTCCTGTGGTTCCACACACAGGTGGTCTTGCTGATTTTCTCCCTAGTTACCCTTTTGTCCTTAATGTATTTGTAGAATCCATTTGGATTCCCCATAACCCTATTTGTCAAAGCTATTTCATATCCCCTTTTTGCCTTCCTGATTTCCCTCTTAAGTGTACTCCTACTGCCTTTATAGTCTTCTAATGATTCAGTTGATCCTTGCTGTCTATACCCAACATATGCTTCCTTCTTTTTCTTGACCAACACTTCAATTTCTCTGTAATTGCTAAGATATCCGAGTCCCATGTTCCCAGCCATGGCCTGAGTTCGTCTGCCTTACCTGTTAGGCCTCTTGCATTGAAACAAATGCAGCTAAATTTATCAGTTTTACCTCGCTCTCTGCTTTGTTCCTCCTTGCTCTGACTATTTGACTTACTCCTTTTCCCAACTGTATCAGTCTCAGACTGTTCTCCTTCCTCACTGTTTTCCCAGGTCCCAACACCCTTCCCCTCCATCCCCGCCACCCCTCCTCCACGCACCTCCCTGCCACCCCTTACTAGTTTAAATCCTCCCGAGCAGCTTTAGCAAATCTCCCCGCCAGTATATTAGTCCCCTTCCAATTTAGATGCAATCTGTCATACAGGTCACTTCTACTCCAGGATAGATTCCAATGATCCAAAAACGTGAATCCTTCTCCCCTGCACCAGCTCCTCAGCCATGCATTCATCTGCTCTACCCTCCTATTCCTATCCTCACTAGCTTGTGGCACCAGGAGTAATCCCGATATTATTACCCTCGAGGACCTACTTTTCAAATTCCTGCTTAACTTCTTATATTCTCTCCTGAGAATCTTGTCCCCATCTCTTCCTATGTCATTAGTTCCAATGTGTACAACAACCTCCTGCTGGTCCCTCTCATCTTTGAAAATATTCTGCACCCTGTCTAAGAGATCCTTGATCCTCGCACCAGGGAGGCAACACACCTTTCTGATGTCTCCCTGTCGGCTGCAGAAACATCTGTCTGTACCTCTGACTGGAGGGTCCCCAATGACAATCCACCGCTTGGAACCTGACATACCCCTCATTACATTGTAGCCAGCCTCGGTACCAGAAACCTGGCTGTCAGTGCTACGTTCCCCTGAGATTCCATCACACCCTACATTTTCCAAAGCAGCATACTTGTTTGAGATGGGGATAGCCATAGGAGACTCCTGCACTACCTGCCTCCCTCTCCTACCTTTCCTGGAGGTCACCCATCTACCTGACTATATCTTCGGTTTATCTCCCTCCTTGCAACTGCCATCCATTACACTCCCTAGATCCTGTAAATGCGTCATTGCCTCTAACTGCCACTCCAACTGTTCCATGTGATCAGTCAGGATTCGCAGCCAAGCACACCTGCTGTAGACATAATCATCCGTATTATGGCAACTTTCCCTAATTTCCCACATCTGACAGGAAGAGCACATCACTCTACTAAAAGCCATCTTTGCATCTTAACAATATACAGACCCAGAAAATAGCACAGTTTTACTGGTTTGAAAACACTTCTCCAGGCTAACTTAGTGCCTCTGTTTTATATTTTTAAAGTTTAATCTAGAGACAGATCTCAAGAAAAACACATAATGAAACAGAACCCAATGTACTCACTATTGTAGACTTACAAAAAAAAACTAGCCACTTAGCTGCTCATCTGCTGAGATCACCCCACACAGGTTTGACCAAGGTTGCTTTGGAAAATAAGTGTCTGAATCAAGTAAAGGTATAGAAGGATCACTCCTACTGGTGATGTAGCCAAATAAGGCCATTAAAAGCAAACAAGTTGCCTGGGTTCATTTCTATGGGATGAAATTGAAGAACAAGAAGTTATGTTGAATCTCTAATAGAGTCTTGCTTAGATCATACCTGAAATCCTCTGAATATCTTGAGAAGTTTCAAAAAGGATTTACTACATCAGACCTGAGAAAATAGTCATTTCTAGAAAGATTGAATAGGTTGGGGCTCTTTTCTGCAGAGCTGAGAAGAAAAAGGATGGCCTGATAGAGTCTTCAAGGTTACAAAAGGGGGGACCAGAACTCGGAGCCAGGATTATAAAAAATTACTACTGAAGCCAATGGTAAATTTTCTCGGAGAATGGTTATGAAGGGAAACTTACTACTACAGGAAGCAGTTGACATTACAAAAATATTCAAGGGAACATTAGATAAATACACAAGAGAGAAAAGAATAGAAGAGGCCTGTGTGCAACATAAAGACTGGGTATGGGGCTTGCTGGACAGAATGTCTGTAAAGGCTTTGTAACTCTTATTCAATTTCCTCCTTTATTGATCAGACTGATCATCCACAGTGGAGAGGAAGCCTTCTCATCGGCTCTATATGACTCTTGGAAGAATGAGTACTTCCCTCTGGAAGGTTTGATCAGTAATGAGCCATTTGTTCGGATTGAGTTCACCTCCGATGGAACCAAGACAGCAGGGGGATTCAACATTCGATATGAAGGTGCAAATAACCTTTCCATTTCAAGATAGAAGGGGAATCCAGTGTACGGGTAGAATCTTATTACAGCCCTCTCCACACCCTCCCACTCAATCACCAACTGGAAAGAGGTGCCAGTAGTTAATATACGACTCAGTTCTGTAATGCAAGGCACCTGGATTCAGAATCAGGCCAGACATAACAGTGTGAGAATATGCTTTAGAGAAAAATACAACAGTAACACTTCCTCTTCAAGCCATGAAAGTAATGTGTTTAATAATAGGTTCAAATGGATAGTACAAGGAGTGGTGAGATTCTGATACAAAGCAAATTGGAAGAGTTGATTCAGTGGGATCAAGTTTTGTTCCGGAGAAATAGATTTGAAAACCAGGGGAGTTGCGGAACTTAAAGCCTGAAAATTGGGGTATAGACCATTTCATCCCTTGAGCCTGCTCTGGTGCCATTCAGGGAGATCATGGCTGATCTGCAGCCAAACTGTACCCACCTTTGCTCATATCATGAAGACTTTTGGCTAATAAAAGCCTAACTATCCCATTTTTAACAAATGATCTATTTCTAATTGCAATTTGTGCAAGAGTTCCAAACTTTTACCATGCCTTTGTGTGCAATGTTTTTTCATTTCCTTTCTCAAGATCTGGCTCCAATTCTATGACAATGACCCAAGTTTGTGTCATTCCCAAAGGCAACGTTATAGCTTTCCCTTTGCTTTGAAAGCTGTTTGTTTCTAAAAGACCAATGCAAATTTATTGGTATTCAGCTATGACCAAATAATATATTAGTGTAATTTTTTTTAATATGTACGTAGTTTCAACGTCAAGTTAGTCACGTCTTGTCTCTCCTCAGCCTTTGAGCGTGGACATTGCTTCGAGCCTTACATGCAGAATGGGAACTTCACAGTCACCAATCCTTCCTACAGTGTAGGCTCAGTGGTGGAGTTCACGTGCGACCCAGGTTACACTATGGAACATGGGTCGTCTGTAATCGAGTGCATTGACATCAGGGAGCCATACTGGAATGAGACTGAACCACTTTGCAGAGGTAAAGAAAACCTTTTGGCCATCAGTATGATGAACATAACATGGGTTTTAAAATATATTTATTTTGCATATCACAAACAGTGATGAGAGCAGTCTGACATATTACAATCCCCAGTGATTGTACTTTTATGGATGATCCAATGTATAAAGGTACATCAAAATGTACATTTTAATTTTTAGACAGATAGATAGTTGTTTATCAAATGATCATCATAGCGGCCAAATTATGACGACGATGCAAATAAAATGAATACTCAAAATTCATAACATAATCGGAGACAATCATTTAAAGAAAAAAGTATATAAGAATGGCAGAATTCTGAACATTTTCGTATGTAAAACAATTTCTATATGTAGCAGCTCTCCTTAATTTACAGGAAGTTTGGCTGCTCTCTGCACTTTGCACTGAAGTCCACAGCTCAGGGTATTCCAAGTGGAATCAAAGCCCCAGATGGGATCACCAGCTGAAATATTGAGGGTGTGAGCTTGAAGGCTCCCCTCCTCCCACAGCTCTCACAGCTCATGCCTTCCCATGCCCCAATCAGTCTACTCACCCACACCCCACCAGCCTGTGCGCAGTTTTCACTGACAGATAGTGACAATGTTCAGGCCTTGAAAGGGGGCCACAGTAGTAAAATGTTTGGGAAACGCTACCATAGATCCTATTTTGGCAGGTTGAGTTCATTAAATTCTCAACCACTTACGTACTTTTTATGAGTTTTCTTCAAGCAGGAGATGGGTTGACCTTTTTTATTTCATCAAAGGCTTCTTCCATTTAAAGAATTGTGAATATGACCCAATTTATGTCGCACTACATCAAATCAAAACATGCCAAAGTTTATTACCTTTGGAGGGCAGGGCGTGTTATTCTGTAAATTAATGCAGTGTGATTCTGAACCAGCCCCTGCAGTGAGCTGAATAGATTGACCAGCATGCTTCAACACGGTGATAATCGATGGAACATATTAACAAAGGCAGCAGGATTCTTTGAATAAGGCAACATTCACTGAACAAAGAAAGACTGAAGACAGCATCTACAAGGCCCAGACTCACAGACACACTTAGAGTCATACGGCAGTACAGCACTGAAACAGACCCTTCGGTCCAACTCGTCCATGCCAACCAGATATCCTAAATTAATCTAGGCCTATTTGCCAGCATTTGTCCCATATCCCTCTAAACAATTCCTATTTATGTACCCATCCAGATGCCTTTTAAATGTTGTAATTGTACCAGCCTCCACCACTTCCTCTGGCAGCTCGTTCCATACATGCACCACCCTCTCTGAAAATGTTGTCCCTTAGGTCCCTTTTAAATCTTTCCCCTCTCACCTTAAACCTATGCCCTCTAGTTTTGGACTCCCCCACCCTGGGGAAAAGACCTTGGCTATTCACCCTATCTATTCTCCTCATGATTTTATAAACCTCCATAAAGTCACGCCTCAGCCTCCGACACTCCAGGGAAAATAGCCCCAGTCTATTCAGCCTCTCCCTATAGCTCAAACCCTCCAACCCTGGTAACATGCTTGTAAATCTTTTCTGAACCCTTTCAAGTTTCACAACATCGTTCGTATAGCTGGTAGACCAAAATTGCACTTTAGTTTTGCATGAAGAGCCTAATGATGGAGCTAAATGGAGGCTTCAAACCCGGAGGTTATGCTTAAGACACTAGCAATGCCTGTGTTGAACAGGCAACCTACAACAATGGGAGGGAATTTGAAAGAACAGCCTTGCTGGAAGTCAGTGGAAAGCCCAAGAATCTCAATCCTTGTGTGAATCTTCGAAATGTTGTTAACTCTGATTCTCCCTCCGCAGACGCTGCCTCACCTGCTGAGCTTTTCCAGCACTTCCTGATCTCATGTCAAAAATACTGTATTGGCCAGAAGCTCAGTGGGACATCCTGAGGGTCATGAAAGATGTTATATTAATGCGAATATGTTCAAGGGGCTAATCTTCCAATTTCTGTTAAGTATCTGACTTCAGTTATTGGTGATGTGCGTGAAATGTGTCTCGAAGGACATTTGATTCTGATTATAAGCAACTGTGTGCATTGTATTTTAATGCCACTGCCCATTTATGTTAGTGTGTTTGTATTATTCAAGCTCTTTGATTTTGGAGTGGTCAAATTCTTCTGTTTAAAACATGAACCTTGTGGCCTCATTATTTTAGTAAATACTTGGGTTTTTCAGTTTCTAAACAAAAACTTTATTGGTCTCCACAGGCATCATTACAAGGAGTCAAATGCAGTACCACTTCGCACATCCTCAAATCATAGAGTTACACAGCACCTAAAACCATTTCTGAAATCTTGTCCAATGAATTTGTGCTGGTATTGGTTGAAGGATCCTCCTTTAATATCACATTGAAATCTCTGGCTTGGCACATGTGCAGTGATAGTGTCCCTATCTCTGAGCCAGCAGGCCATGTTCTAGCCCCACCTCATCTGTGACATAAGACATCGAACAGCTTGATTACCATTCATCAAATCCCTGCTCAGTTTTCTAGCTAGGTAAAAGAGCAAACGATCAAAGTTACATTAAAGTAGCACCTGTTGTGATGTACTCACAAGTTTGTGGCAAATACAGTTGTTCTGAAAGAAGAACAGAAAAGTGCTGGAAACATTGCAAGGTTGAGGCAGTATCTGTGGAGTCAGAAACAGAGTTAACGAATCAGGTTGAAGACCTCTTGGTCAGTTAGAGGGGCTGTTCCTAGTGACAACTTGGATAGTAACTGGGGGCACAGGTTTGGGCATTTCTGAAGTGTTGTAACATAAGGGACATCTGAAATTTAGAAAAATCCCTCCCCACAGCAGAAGCTAAGAATGAAAACAATGGGAGGAGGATGGGTAGGCCATTTGGCCCTCCAAGCCTGTTCCACTATCTAAAAAGATCATGCGGATCTGGCTTTAATTCTGCTTTTCTTTCCTGCCCCCACCCTTGTGGATCAAAAACAAATTTAACCCAACCCCACTGCTCTCTGCAATAGAGAACGCCAAAGATTAATGAATGTCAGAGAGAAAAAAATTCCTCCTTATCACCATTTTAAATGTGTACCACCTTCTTCTGAAACTGTGTCTGTAGTCCTCGAATCCCAGGGAGAAAGCACCAGATGCCTGTGAACAATTGGGGTGTGTTTTTCATACTGTTGTTTCACTCTTGCTCTGTTCTGTTTTAGCGGTTTGTGGTGGGGAGTTGTCAAGCCCTGCAGGAGTGATTCTCTCTCCGAATTGGCCTGAACCCTACGATGAAGGCGAGGACTGCATCTGGAGAATTCATGTTGGGGAGGACAAGCGAGTCTTCCTCGATGTTCAGCTGTGAGTATGTTACAGGAATGTGCTTATTTTCATTGAGAAAGCAACCTGAACAGCTGAGTCTTTAGTATAGGGCATCACTCCGAATGATGAAGGCCTGTGAGGAGTAGATAGGCAAATGTCTCCCATTGGCAGGAGGCCCGGTAAGATGCAGAATTATGATAATTGCTAATAAATGGGGGTGGGGGGTCGTGAATTTAATTTATCTTTTTGCTACACTCTCAAATGCATTCCCTCATGGAACGGTGAAATCAGGCTCAATAGTAACTTTGAAAACAAAATATTTTCTCAAGATGGAAAAATTTGCACGGCTAAAATGAAGCAAACAGCAGAAGGAATTGAGACCATTTGGAAAGCTCTTTCAAAAAGCTAGCACGTGTGCCATGGACCATTGGCCTCTTGCTGTGTGGAGTGATTTGATGATCAATGGTGATTCTGGCCTTAGGAACTGGATCAGTGAGGACCTGACCTGGATGCACCTGAGGTAGTACACACTTAAGGAGGTGGCAAAGCTTACAGCAATTATAACTTGGTGAACCTCACTCGTATGTTAGCATAGAGCTGCAAGCACCAGACATAGTATCAGAGGCATCGCAAGGCACTCTGAAGGGTAACAAAATTGGTTACTTGGAATATCAGCTGGCGGTATAAGATTAATCCATAGATGGTGATCAGAAGTGTCAACAAAGCACAGAAACAGTACATTCATATATGGCATGGCTAGACTCTCTCTCTGGTCTGGTAACAACCTCTCTCTCTGTACTGCTTAGTCATGGTTTAGTTGGTACTGATTGTCCAGGGTGTCATTGTTGTATAAGGTAGTGGCTCTGAAAGGGTTAATGCTGAAGACTTCATTGAGCTCCACCGAATCTAATGACATCATAAGGCCTTATATAGTGAAAGGCAGGCCATTGTAGAATCTCAAAGACGACAGGCCTATTCTGCCCAGTCTTTGCAAAATCTTTGTTACCAGAGTTATCTTATCTATGTAGGTTGATGTCATGTCATATATGATAACTTGTTCAAGATAAGAACCTCATCTCATTAAGTTACCTGGTGGATTTCCTGGAAAACATTAGACTAAGTAGAACCTATGGACACAGTCATAATATGAAGATGTTGACATCAATGCACCCAACCACACATTGGCAGTGGTTGGCATCGTCTGTTCATACAACATGGTGAGCAGCGGTGTGGATTCAAATTCAATTTAGGTGTAGAGAACAAATTCCAAAGAACGCAGGAGCAATTTCCAGTTCAAGCTTTAAGAATGACTCATGTACACAGTCAGCAGTTCTTACTATTTCTGACTAAGGCTGTAGAAACCTGGATTCATTGGGCGAAGGCACTAAAGCAAATGGAAACACTTATTAAAATGGTACGGCGAGGGATATTGATCACCAGCTGCAGAGTCAGAGCTCAGTCAGAGGTGAGGTGGCCTGGGTTTTACAAAGATAATGAAGACCTCAGAGCTCGTTGTGATATCCGTGACTATACAGGATTGCCGGAAATGTTTCTCAATCCTAACAACAGCGAAAAGAGTCAGCAAAGTTTGCATGATCGAAATGATGGGAAACACAATGAGCAGTGCAACCCACTTCAGCTCAGTGATGAGTCTTTAACTGAAGTTATCCAGACAGCAACAAAGCCTAATAAAAAATTCATTAGGACGTAATTAAATCTTTTTTAAGGAAGAATAATCCATACGAGTGACGGAGGTGAAGTTCAGTAAACAGCAATCCTCAATTAGCATGACTAAGAAAGTGAACACTGTTGGTTTCACCAGGAAAACACTCACTGGAGTTGAATGAAAATGTCAACAGGGTGCACACACTTCAATAATGTGGCCGGCAAACTGAGATTGAAGATTTGTTTGCATAAGTTGAAGGTGAGCTGCATAAGAATCCACAGAAGCCACCACTGGGCTGAGGGTGACAAACATCCACACATTCAGGACACAATCAAGATACTCGAGGCAAAGGCCTGTCCTCAAGTCAAAGGCCTGCCCATCCCCCAAGTCTGAAGGCAACCCATTCTGAAAAATTTGTGAAACCTCCAGACCACCTGAACTTGTGAAATCAGGCACTTGTTAGGTTATGGTAAATATAAACATATACACAAAAATGTACGTGTTAATGATGGGAGAAAAGCTTGGGGGAGATGTCACACAAGGTACTGTCCCGAAGGGTTCACGATGATAGGATCTTCAACTCCTATTCCACCACTTGAGCTCTCCTTGAAATTTGAAGTACTCCGCACAGAAATAAAGATTCTCTGCCATAGTATCCCTACAGTGTGGAAGCAGGCTATTCGGCCCACTGAGTCCACATCAACACTCTGAAGAGCATCCCACCCAATCCCTGCATTTCCCTAATCCACCTAACCTGCAGGTCCCTGGACACCACGGGCAATTTAGCATGGCCAGTCCGCCTAATCTGCACACCTTTGGACTGTGGGAAGAAACCAGGGCACCTAGAGGAAACCCATGTGGACAGAGGAAGAATGTGCAAACTTCACACAGACAATCATTTTAGGGTGGAATCAAACCCAGGACCCTGGCACTGTGAGGCACCAGGGCTAACAACTGAGCCACCATGCCTGTTCTCAGCCTCACTTCTTGCAGCACCATTTCTATTGGTCTTGTTTGTCAATCTATGGACTCCTCTGTCCTCATCCAAAATTTCTTTACATCTTCTGATTTTGCAACAACAAAAATGGTTGATGATGCTGTGCCTTTAAATACAGACATGCTTTTTAAATCCACTCTGCCCGACAGCTGAGCTCCTGATGTAAGAGAGTTCTGAAGTCTGAAGTTGTAATAATAAGGCTGACTCCACAACTTTGAACAGGGTCCCTGATCTAACATGACCCACGCATCAGTTTGTATTTTCATCCAATTGGAAAATGCAGCCTTTTAGCTGAAACAATGCAACTGCAAAAGGCAGAGATCCCAATCGTGAAAAGATAGGGTAAGAACAAAATAAATGCAAGAAAAGATTGTCTTTGATCCTATATTGCCTCACTTCCTTCACCCCACCATCAGCTACTGTACTGTGTCCCTAAGCTCTGCAGTTTGTTCTCGCATTCTGCAGAACATAAGTGTCGAGAAATGGAACCATAACCAAGCTTTAATGTAAGCTGGTGCTCAGAGACATTCTGCTGTTCATTAATTGATGTGAAATCTAATGAATAGTGCTAGATCGATCTGCTCTGGCTTCATATTGAACTGAACGCCTAGTGAAATGTAACACCGACCAGTTACAGAAGCACAGCAAATTTAACTTGACAGCTAACGGTTAAACACCTCACTTAACATCCACACAGCTAAGGAGAAATGGAATTTTGCTCCAACTTATTCTCATTCTTAGCCAGTGCTGCAAATATTAGAAGCTGAAAGCAAATTCTCTGCAGCTACTGGAAATTCAAAAAAATAATCAGCAACAAATCAATTGGTTTGTCTGGGTCTCTAAAACGTCAGATTGCTTATCGAGTTTCCAGAGGTAGCTAAGCAATGTTTTCTTCGGCACACTGCAGTAATTGCATTGGGCTAGTTGTCTAGAAGTTCAGACTAATGCTGAGGGCAAAGGTTCAGATCCCACTACAATCACCAGTGGAATTTAAACTCAGTTTGTTAATTTATTCATTTAAAAAACTATTTGATAGGACAGAGCATGAGCATTGCTGAAGAGAAAACATATCTTGTCAGAGCCTTTTGCTTTGCAATCATCAGGACAATTTTGAGAAATAGCAAAGTAAAGGGAAAACAGTGTTTATACTCCTGTATATATTGTTTCCCTGTTACATTAGTATTTCTTGCAAATTGTCCTGATGAGTGCTCAATGAAAAATTTTGACAAAATGCCTTTGTTCAAGAATTCATAACTGTGAAATTGAAATGGGACCTTGAAACTGTTGATTGTTATGAAAAAAACAAAGGGTCTCTGATGTCTTTGAGTGAGCAAACCACTCAGTTCAAGAGCAATTAAGGATGTAAACGAGGCTTACCTTGCTAGCAACCCAATATCCCAATAAAGACTTAAAACGAAACGGTTCCAGCCACAAAATTAGCTTTCTTGTCATTAATTCCTTCCATCTCCCTGGACTGCGTCTATTCCTAACAGCACCATGGGTATACTTGCATTGCAGCCATTCAAGAAGATAGCTCTCCATCAACTTTTACCTTTATATCTTCATTTTTCTCATTCATACCTAAGGTTTTGTACGCAGATATTTTTGCAGCTAAATCTTATAAGGATTGTAATGCTGAACTTTCAACTTTATTGTTTCATTTTTCTAACTTAAACCGAAGATTTTGTACCAGAATATCTTTGCACTTAAGATGGCACTGGAAATAGCAACTTTTGTACAATTTTCACTGCACTCATGTATCCCTGTACTTGAGTACATGTGACAATAAATCTAATTCTAATTCCTTGTCAAGGGTAATTAAGGATGGACAATAAAGGTTGGGTTTATGCTTTGACTCTTACACAATAACAAACAAGAATAAAAGACGAGAGAAGCTGGGATTGTGCTGTTGGAGCAAGGTAGACATTTAATAGTCGTGTTCAAAGTTACATAGGATATATAAACAGGCCATTCAACCCAACTGATCCATGTTGTTTATGATGTTTAAGTGCATCAATGTTCTTTGCTTCAACCACTCCCTGTGGTTGCAAAAACCACTTTTTCGGTAAAGAGTTTCTTCTGAATTCCCTATTGGTTTTTGCTGGTGGCTACGTTATAGTTATGACTTCTAAATAGAGGGGTTTGTCTGAACTAAGGCAAAGAAACTGATTCTGGAGGCAGAAAAGTCAGTAGTCAGACAACTCAGATTTAAAGTAAATTTTAAAAAAGAGAGGTGAGATGAGAATAATTGGTTTCACATTGTGAGTCATTTTCATCTGCAATGCGCTACCAAAAAGGATGGTTCAGGCTTTATTGAATGAGATGCTTCAGGGTTAGATTAAAAACAAAAGCTTGAAGACCTCTTGGAATCATGAG